GCATGGTAGGGCACAAGTGCCTGGGGTTTATGAGGCTGAAATTGGTTGCTTATTCCTGGTTCCCTATTCCTTATTCCCAGCTCCTTATTCCTTATTCCCGGTTCCTGGTTCCTTTTTCAAAGCTAATCTAGACCCAGTAGAAGCTTGTTATTAATGAATTACACATCCTAAAGAGAGAGATTTTCATTAGCAGTGCATATGTACTAATTAATATGTAAAATAATATCCCATATCAAGGAGAGAACACTAAATGAAGGTCAGATTAGGATGGGATTATGGGATATAATACTTCTTGGGCCACCCCAGACTTCCTGTTGATGCCACTGGGGGACTGTCCCAAAGAACACTGACCACAGTCCTGCCTGGTCTACAGCACGGTTTGGCTGTGCCAGGCTGCCAACTAATGGCCCCCCATGCCTACTATACTAAAGTGGCTTGAATAAGGAACTGTTTTTTGGGCTGGGATTATGCCTAGAAATTCTGCTTGGGCCACCCATCAAAATACCTCTATGCCACTGGGGGACTCTACCCGACGCATCTGATCAGAGTCCTGCCCGGCCAAAGCACGGTTTGGCCATGCCAGGTTGCCAACTGACATCACCCCAGCCACTGTGCTAAATATATGGAACTAAATAAGGAACTGGATTTTGGGCTAGGATTATACCCAGAAATCCTTCCTGGGCCACTGCAGACCATGTCTCTGTGGCACTGGGGGACTGTCCTGGACAACTCTGACCACAGACTTGCCGGGCCCAAAGCATGGTTTGGCCATGCCAGGGTGCCAACTAACGGCATCCCAGCCACTGTGCTAAATACATGGACCCAAATAAGAAACTGGATTTTGGGCTGGGATTATAGCTAGAAATCCTTCTTGGGCCACCCCAGACCAGGTCTCTGTGCCACTGGGGGACTCTCCTGCACATGTCAGACCAGAGATTTGCCTGGTACAAAGTGCCATTTGGTTGCACTGGGCTGTCAAAAGACAGCACTGCAGCTACTGTGCTAAATATATGGACCTGAATAAGGAACTGGATTTTGGGCTGGGATTATAGATAGAAATCCTTCTTAGGCCACCCTACGCCATGCCTCTGTGGCACTGGGGAACTCTTCTGCACATTGCTGAGGACAGACTTGCCTGGCCCAAAGCGTGGCTTGGATGTGCCAGGCTGTCAGCTGACAGCACCCCAGCCATAGTACTAAGTTTATGGACCCGAATAATGAACTGAAATTTGGGCTGGGATTATAGTAGAAATCCTTCTTGGACCACCCCACACAATGCCTCTGTGGCACTGAGTGACTGTCCTGGACATCTCTGACCAGAGACTTGCCCAACCCAAAGCGCAGTTTGGCCATGCCAGAGTGCCAAGTGACAGCCCCCCATTCCCACTGTATTAAATGCATAGGCTTGAATAAGGAATTGGCTTTTGAGCTGGGATTATAGCTAGAAACCGTCTTTGGTCCACCCCATGGCACACCTCTGTGCCACCAGGGGACACTCCTGGACATCTCTGACCACAGACTTGCCTGGCCCAAAACACGGTTTGGGCGTGCCAGGATGCCAGCTAACAGCGCCTCAGCCACTGTGCTAAGTATATGGACCCGAACAAGGAACTGGATTCTGGGCTGGGATTATACCCCAAAATCCTTCTTGGGCCACCCCAGACTGCACCTCTGTGTCACCGGGGGACTCTCCTGCACATGTGTGATCAGAAACTTGCCCGGCCCAAAGCGCAATTTGGCCATGCCAGGGTGCCAACTGACAGCACCCCAGCCACTGTGCTAAATACACGCACCTAAATAATGAACTGGAATTTGGGCTGGGATTATAGCTAGAAATCTTTTTTTGGCCACCCTGTGGCACATGTCTGTGCCACCGGAGGATGCTCCTGGACATCTCTGACCACAGACATGCCTGGCCCAAAGCATGGTTTGGCTGTGCCAGGCTGCTAACTGACAGCACCCCAGCCACTGTGCTAAGTATCTGGACCTGAACGAGGAACTGGATTTTGGGCTGGGATTATACCCAGAAATCCTTCTTGGGCCACCCCAGGCCGCACTTCTGTGCCACCGGGGGACTCTCTTGCACATCTCTGACCATAGACTTGCCTGGCCCAAAGGGCAGTTTGGCCATGCCAGGGTGCCAACTGACAGCACCCCAGCCACTGTGCTAAATACACGCACCTAAATAATGAACTGGAATTTGGGCTGGGATTATAGATATAAATCCTCCTTGGGCCATCCCATGCCATGTCTCTGTGCCACTGGGGGACTCTCCTGGACATCTCTGACCACAGACTTGCCTGGCCCAAAGTGTGGTTTGGCTGTGCCAGGCTGACTACTGAAAGCAGCCCATCCACAGTGCAAAGTATATGGATCTGAATAAGGAATTGGAATTTGGGATGGGATTATACCTAGAAATCCTTCTTGGGCCTCCCCATGCCATGTCTCTGTGCCACTGGGGGACTCTGCTGAACATTTCTGACCAGAGAGTTGCCCAGCCCAAAGTGTGGTTTGGCCATACCAGGGTGCCAACTGACAGCACCCCAGTCACTGTGTTAAGTACATGGATCTGAATAAGGAACTGGATTTTGGGCTGGGATTATAGCTAGAAATCCTTCTTGGGCCCCCCCAGAACATGTCTCTGTACCATGGGGGGGGGCTGTCCTGGACATCCCTGACCAGAGATTTCACCAGCCCAAAGCGCTGTTTCTTTGGTTGTGAAAGACAGCACCCCAGCCACTGTGTCAGGTATATAGACCTGAATAAGGAACTGGACTTTTGGCTGGGATTCTAGCTACAAATCCTTCTTGGGCCACCCCATGTCATGTCTCTGTGGCACTGGTGGACTCCCCCGGACATCCCTGACCAGTCTTGCCCAGTCTTTTTCATGCCATGCTACTAACTGCAGCCCCACATGCCCACTAATATAATAAAAGGCTTAGTCTGTCTGTCTGTATGTCTGTCTGTCCATAATGCTTCTAGTCAACTGCACATGTGCCCCCAACAGGGTGTGCGGCGATTGGTTGGGCTGCACAC